ATGGGTCATGAAGCACCTTGGATAATCTCCAGAAATCAATTTAAAGGGTAATAAAATAATTGCTGATGTAATATTTTCCCTATAATTATTACAAAAACACAAAATAACTATAAATAAGTATTTATATTGGTGCACAAGCTGTTTGGATTGTCAAAAAAYCCTGTGTTTTAAGGGTTATTAACGAAGTTCATGTTCTCAGACCAGTAATATTTGGGGTCACAAGTTTTTACCATGGATATTTTGTGGGTCAGAAGATAAAAAGTTTGGGAACCACTGGTGTAGCACAAGTTTTTCTTAAAAATATTTTATCTCTCGTCTTGGGACTTGTATCTCGCCTCACGATACAAATGTTACACCCCTGTTGTTGACAAAAAAAAAGTCAACAAAAATTTGACAAACAGGAAGTAGGAAGACAAACTGGGGCACTGGTAAGAAGCAAAATGCAGAATCAGATCTTAATTCAGCATCCTGCCATCTGTTTATTCTTCAAACCTGGTGTTGCAGTACTCCCCACACCCTTTAAAAAAAGGCAAACTGGGTGTGCCAAATGCAAACTGAGCAAATAATGTGCCTTATGACCCAAGTCAAAGCAAGGTTGTGGTGATAAGTTTATATTAAGAAGGTACTTAGTTGACTTTCATACCTGGGAGCTGGCTCTATTAGCGTAGTCGTGTCCAGGTAGTGGATTTTGTAGAACTCCAGGAGAGCCGGGAGGTGTTCAAACTCCTGGTCGCCGATCTTAAACCTCTTGCTGGGCAAAGAGTTGATGATATAGTGAGAAACCCGGGAGTTCTCGGACACGGACAGCACGTAATCGCCGGGGCAGGTGGACGAATCTCGAACCAGAAACATGCCGTGTCTCTGTCCTTGTAGCCGGTTCTGTGCCTCCTGTCGAGACACGGGTCCAAAGTACCAGGCGGACCGATCCGACGAGTCAAAGCGAGCAGTGGACATTTCTGCTCAAACAAATAAGTTAACAAGTTCAAAATAAAAATGTGTTCTAGTTTTCACTGCAAACTCTGGTATTTGGGAGATGCAAGGCAGGGCATGCAGTCGCCCTGTAGCGTTTCCACCSCCTAATAATTTCTATACCGACGTTGCAGACGTTGTTGACTTAATAATGATAAATAAAACCTTATCTGAAAAAGGCAGCAGTTTGCTTGATCCAACTTTGGAGCATTTCTTTAGCTCAGTAGGTCTCGAGAAAAATTGTTGCAGGGGCCAAACCAAAACGAAGAGTCCTCACAAACAAAACCAACGGAGGCCAATGCAACAAACGATCAATGAAGCTTCCTCCTTTTCGTTCCGCCTTCCGAGAAATCACCAAGCTTTTCTTCAAATAATTTATCTCCTTCAGTCAGTGTCAGTTATGAYCGGAAAAAGGTGGCCTCAGTTGTTCATCTGATAAATCCCCATGACAGCGAAAGCCGGGCAAAAGCCGAAAGCATATAACGAGATAAATACTTTGAATCCTCTTTACTTTCTTACAATAAAGGCACACGTCACAAAAAGAGGGTTTTCAGTCCCCCTCTCTCGGGTCGCAGCAGACTTTAGAGGCAACACAGCAAGAAAAAATGGCGGCGGCCCCGCAACACGTCTTCACACAAGAAATTGTTTCACAGCAGCTGCTTGCCTGCCGCGCGTGCATCTCAGGGGGGCTCTGGACTCACAGAGGCGAAGCTTCCGCGTGCATTCCCAACGGCTCGCGAAGCCTCCCCGGCTCGGCGAACTGCTTTAAAGCGTTTTTTCCCCCCGATTTCAGGGAGTCCCACCTCTCACTCGAGTCCCCAYAAGTGCGAGTGTTAGCCCGAAAAATGGCGACGGGAGGGCAGGTCCCGCTTTCTAGCCGTACGTCAGCGACGCCGGGC